CTAGAAAAAGAACAGGGGCGCCTGGGTGGCTCAGTTGGTTAAGCGACTGCCTTCGGCTCAGGTCATGATCCCAGGGTCCTGGGATCAAGCCCCACATCGGACTCCCTGCTCCTCGGGGAGCCTACTTTTCCGTCTCCCTCTGCCTGCCACTACCCCTGCTTGTGATCTCTCTCTATGTCAAATAAATAAATAAAATCTTAAAAAAGAAAAAGAACAAAACCAAGCACAAGGTTGGCAGAAGAAGGAAATAATAAAAATCAGAGCAGAAATAAACAGAAACAGAGAACAAAGAAACAATAGAAAAGATTAACCAAACTAAGAGTTGGTTCTTTGAAAAGATAAAACAAAATTGGCAAACATATAGCAGACTAACCAAGGTAAAAAAGAGAAAGAACACAGATCAACAAAACTGTAAATGAAAAAGGGGAACATTGCAACTGATACCACAGAATATATGGGTTCATAAGAGACTACTATGAGCAACCAAATACCAACAAACGAGACAACCTAAAAGAAATGGAAAAATTCTTAGAAACTACAACTTACAGGGGCACCTGAGTGGCTCAGTCGTTAAGCAACTGCCTTCGGCTCAGGTCATGGTCCCAGGGTCCTGGGAATGAGCCCTGCATTGGGCTCCCTGCTCTGCCAGAAGCCTGCTTTTCCCTCTCCTGCTCCCCCTGCTTGTGTTCCCTCTCTCGCTGTGTCTCTGTCAAAAAAATAAATAAAATCTTAAAAAAAAAAAAAAAAGAAACTGCAACTTACAAAGAATGAATCAGGAAAAAAACAGAAATACTGACTAGAGCAATTACTAGTAAGGAGACTGAATCAGTAATCAAATATCTCCCAATAATGGAAAGCCTAAGACTAGGGGCCCCTGGGTGACTCAGTCATTAAGTGTCTGCCTTCAGCTCAGGTCATGATCTCAGGGTCCTGGGATTGAGCCCTGCATCGGGCTCCCTGATCAGTGGGAAGCCTGCTTCTCCCTCTCCTACTCCCCCTGCTTGTGTTCCCTCTCTCGCTGTCTCTGTCAAATAAATAAATAAAAAATCTTAAAAAAAAAAAAAAAGAAAAGCCTAAGACCAGATGCTTCACAGGTGTATTTTACCAAACATTTAAAGAAGAATTAACTCCAGTACTTTAAAACTCTTCCCAAACAATCAGAGAAAAGAATACTCCCAAACTCATTTTACAAAGCCAGCAAATCCTAATACCAAAACCAGAAAAATACTAGAAAAAAAATTAAAAGCAAATATCCCTAATGAATATAGATGCAAAAGTTCTCAATAAAATAACAAGAAACTGAATTCAGTAGCACATTAAAAGGACTATTCATCATGATCAAGTAGGATTTATCCCAGGATGCAATGATGGTCTGACATACACAAATCGTGATACATCACATTAACAGAATCAAAGAAAAGATCATACGATCATCTCAATAGTTACATAAAAGGCATGTGACAAAATTCAACATCCATTTGTGATTAAAAACTCTTACCAAATTAGGCATAGGAGGAAGATATCTCAACATAACAAAGGCCTTATATCACAAACCCACAGTTAACATCAGACACAACAGTGAAGGTTGAAAGTTTTTCCTCTAAGATTAACAACAACATAACAATGCCCACTCTGACCGTTCCTATTAAACACAGAACTGAAAGTTCTAGGTACAGCAATTAGGCAAGAAAAAAAAATTAAACATATCAGAATTGGAAAGGAAGAAGTAAAATTGTCCCTATTTGCAGATGACATGATTTTATATATAGAAAATCATAAATACTCAACCAAAAAAATGTTAGATTTAATCAACGTATGTAGTAAAGTTACAACATACAAAACTGACATACAAAACCAGCAGCAGTTCAATATAGTAACAGTGAATTTTCTGGTGAAAGAAATAAAGAAACTGATCCCTTTTACAATATCATCAAAAATAATAAAATAGGAATAAATTTAATCAAGAAGGTGAAAGATCTCTCCTCTGGAAACCACAAAACACTGATGAAAGTAATCAAAGAAAACACAGACAGAAAGGTATCTTGTATTCATGGACTGAAAGAATTAATATTGTTAAAATGTAATTACTACCAAAATCAGCTACAGATCAATACAATCCCTATCAAAATTCCAGTAGGATTTTTTCTAAAATTAAAAAAACACTCGTAAAATTTATATGGAACAAATTATCCTGAATAGTCAAAGAAATCCTGAGAAAGAACAAAGCAGGATGCACCATACTTCCCAATTTCAAGTTATACAAAAAACTACAGTAATCAAAACAGTTTGGCACTAGCATAACAGCAAATAAATAAAAGAGAATCAAGAGCTGAGAAATAAATCAAGGCATTTTATGGTCAACTAATATGTGACAAGAGAGCCAGGATTACTCAATGGAGAAAAGACAAGTCTCTTCATGAAATGGTGCTGGGATAATTAGACATTCACAGGTAAAAGAATGAAACTGAACCTTATGCCACTCACAAAAATTTACTTGAAATGGATTAAAGAATTAAATGTAAGAGCTGAAACCATAAAACTCTGTTAGAAAACTTAGGAATAAAACTCCTGGATATGGTCCTTGGAAATGACTTTTTTTGGATATGACACCTCAAGCACAGGCAACAAAATAAAAAATAAACAAGTGTGACTACATCAATCTAAAAAGCTTCCCTTCAGCAAAAGAAACCATCGATGAAATGACAACCTGTGGAATGGAATATTTTCAAGCCATATATCTGGTAAGGGACTAATATCTAAAATATATAAAGAACTCATACAACTCAAAAGCAAAACACACACACACACACACACACACACACACACACACACACACACACACACACACCAACTTAAAAACAAAGAACCTGAATACACATTTTTCCAAAGTAGATATATGAAAAGCCACAGATACATGAAAAGACGGTGAACGTCACCAATCATTAGGGAAATGCAAAGTAAAACAACAATGAACTATCACCTCACACCTACTAGAATGGTCATCATCAAAAAAAGACAAGAGATAACAAATCTTGTCATAGATGTGGAGAAAAGGGAACACCTGTGCACTCTTTGTGGGACTGTAAACTGGTACGGACAACTATGGAAAACAGTATGGAGGTTGACTGAACAATTAAAAAGAGGACTACCATCTGATCCAGCAATTCCACTTCCAGAAATACACCCAAAGGAAATGAAAACACTTGAAAAGATTATCTACATATCCATTTTCATAGTAACATTATTTACAATAACCAAGGCATGGAAACAAATTAAATGTCCACTGACATACTGACGAAGTAGTGAGAAAGACAGATATAAATAAATATAATGGAATATTATTCAGCCATTAAAAGTGAGGAAATCCTACCATTTGCAACAACATGGCTGGAACCTGAAGGCATTATGCTAAGTGAAATAATTCAGACAAAGACAAATACCACATAATCTCACTTATATGTAGAATCTAAGAAACAAATAACCCAAACTCCTAGAAAAAGACACCAGACATATAGTCAGCAGAGGCAGAGAAAAGAGAAAGGGGGACTTGAAGGAAGGTGGTCAAAAGGTACAAATTTCCAGTCACAAGATAAATAATTACTAAGGATGTAATGTACAACATGATGACTACAGCTAACACTGCTACACAAGATACAGGAAAAGTTAAGAGAGTATATCCTAAGAGTTCTCATCACAAGGAGAAAATTTTTTTTTCCTTTCCTTCATTCTTTTATTTGTATTGTATCTACATGAGATAATGGATGTTAGCTGAACCTACTGTGATAAACATTTTACAATAAATGTCAATCAAACCATCCTCTCGTATACCTTAAACTTATACAGTAATATATGTCAGTTATTTCTCAATAAAACTGGAAAAGGAATTTTAAAAAAGAATAAAATTAAAAAACAAAATACCTCTCAAGAATCATAATCCCTGGGCAAGTTTTACCTAATTCTTCCATACTAAACTGTCAAGTATTTCTTTTAACATGTATTTAAATACTTCTACAACAGAATTTAGCAAAAGGCATTACCATTGCAGGTTTATTTATTGGTTTCCAATACTAGTATGTGAGCATGTATACTTATTTGCTCAGTAGAAGAATTTCCGAAGTATTTAATGTCAAGTGAAGTTATCCATACTTTTTTGCCCTCTTCTGTAACATTAACAAGACAGATGCTGGATTCCTAGTTACTAGTTCAAATAGTTCCCAAAGTGATGACATCAGTCTCAACACTAGCCAGAACACTATAAAGAAACGTTCCTGAACAACCATTTTTCGCAAAATACAAATTTGAATGGCAGCTACACATACCTTTTAATTTATACCCTGGGGTCTTCAGTCCAATTAATCCAAAATCAGCTCCCACAAAAACAGACTCAAAGGAATCCACTCATCATTTCCTCAATTTACTTTTATCTTTTAATTCTCTCACTCTCTTCAATCTATTTTCTCCCTTGTAGCTTTCTTTTCATCTCTGGACTTGCTTCACTTTTTCTTTCTTACTACTGAATTTCTTTTCCTTGAATTCTTTTATCTTTAAATGGAAACATACCAACTTTCTCCTTTTCTCTACTTTTGCATCACTTTGCAACACAGAACAAAACTTGTTAGCCCACTCTTTTATGATCAGGCCATGACGTAAGAGAGATAATATAGACATCTAAGTTTAATTATTGGGCTCTACAAATATAATTAAATTTGTAGGAACTCCAAATAAGTATTCATTCTCCTTATATCTGCTAACAAAATCATTACTATTACTTTTGCCAAACTCAGCCTTACTTATCGAAAAATAAAGGTAAGAACTTTATCATTAAGCATGTAACCATGAAGAAAACCACAAAATAATTAAATATTGACATATTTGTAGAAATTAAGCTCCACTACATTAGTGACTACAAAAACAACATAGTATCCAAAAATGTCAGTTTCAATGGCAAAAAATACAGTAAGATTTACAAGTAAAACTTAAATGGATATAAAATAGATTACCTTCCTTCGTTGACAAGTTCAATAAAAGCAAGGCCTGCATTCTTCTGGATAGAATTCTGCCACTCCTAAAAAAAAAAGAAAGAAAGAAAAGAAAATAGCTTAACAAATAACAGGTTATTTTTTTTAAACAATTATGAAAAACATCACCCATATCAATTTCATACCTTACCTCTTAAAGGAAAAGTTTGGTTAAATGTGCTGCCTACTCAAGGCCAGCCCTGTGAACACACAAATAGTTGATATTCAAATTTAAACTAGGGGCGCCTGGGTGGCTCAGTTGGTTAAGCATCTGCCTTCGGCTCAGGTCATGATCCCAGGGTCCTGGGATAAGCCCCACATCGGGCTCCCCACTCACCAGGAAGCCTGCTTCTCTCTCTCCCTCTGCCTGCCACTCCCCCTGATTGTGCTCTCTATCTCTCTGTCAAATAAATAAATCCTTAAAAAAAATTTAAAAAGTTAGCAACAATTTGATTCCACATAAGCCAAAAAGCCCTATCTATATTTATTTTGCTGTCCTATACCATTATATCATACTAATTCAACTAAAATATTGGGAGTTGGGAAGGAAGGCAGCACAGACCAAGGAGAGAGGTTTTCGTTTTTGTTTAAGAAAAGAGATGCATGACTTCCCCTAATGAGGGGAAGACAGAATTAAATAGTTTGGTACACAGTTAATAGCTCACATCCTACCACAAAAATTGATGATTAATTGAGAAAGAGAAAAGAAAGATCAGTGAATTTGGCTAGACTACTTCTGAGCTGGAAAACTATAGTTCACTAGCCTATGAATATGGTATAAAACTATTATATTCTTTATGAATAATTATCCACTAAAAAGCTTAAGAAGGAAATAAACCAGAAGAGTATGTACAAAAGTTTTTTTAATCATCTCAAAACATATAGAAATATATAAACATTCAACTCAAAACATATACAAATATATAAAATAAACATTAATCTGTAAGGCTGGGCCTACATGACTTGAAAAGTAGCTAGAGTTGAGAAATGTTCATGCATGCGCCCATATGTACATGTATGTGTGAAATATTGCTAGAGTTGAGAAATGCCAAGGTACGTATGTGTGTGGGTATGTGTATGTACATGTATATCTATTTTTAAATATAGATATTTAAATTAAATTTTAAATAAATAAGTGGAAATATATAATCTTTATGGTCCTTAAAACTAAGGAGCCCCTTACATTCTACTTACATAATATCCCTCAACTGATCTTTTTTTGCTCTTTTATAAACTCAAATAAAAGACAATGTTGGGGTACCTACCTTTACTACCCAAAATATTCATATGTTCTAAATGTAATACCTTTAAGAGTCTGAAAGTACATGTATTTTCACGCCTGACAACTGCTGTGTTACTCTAAATTCCTATTTTTTTTTTCAGCCTCATCCTTTCTCTTCTAATTTCTCCTTTTCATTCCTAATTTGGTATTGCTTTCTTTCATGTTTTAAGAACTCAAGGTGGTTCTCAGGACTAAAATGGCTGCATACCACAATTTTATTATAAGGTTCTTTTTTTTTTTAATTTTACTCAGTTAACATACAGTGCAATATTGGTTTCTGGAGTAATATAAGGTTCTATTTCATGAAGAGTGTCAATAAGAATACTAACAGAACATATACAGAATGAAAAATAGATCTAAAGTCACTCAGAAATTTGAGAGTAGTAACTGGCTAGATCTAAAAGAGAAGATAAAGCAATGTGTTGTTAAGGAAAGAGCAATGAACAAGAAGTCATGAGATCTATATTCTCTCACTGATTCTGACATAACAGGTTATGTCCATGGACAGATCATTTGACATCTCTAGGTCTTAGATACTCTCTTTCAAAATTTCTTTAAGCTATATTATTTTATGATTCAGTAATTTACAAACATTAAAGCAGAACCCTCGGGTAAGGTTTTTTGATCCTGATACAGAGGATCCCACACCTTACCTTCCAGGCACAGCAAAGATAGATATCAAGTCTCAAAAAGCTATCCTAAACCTAGTAATGTGCAGGAATAGTAGATGGAGACAAATACAATGGCCAAATGGACCTTTAAGATAGCCTTGAAATATCTCATGCCATAGGAAGAATCAGAAAATTATTCCAGAAAAATGTACAGTAACAGGGGCTTTGAGGGGATGAGGAGAACAGAGCTGTGACCTTTGCTGATAGACAGCAGGGAATCAAAAGGGATGGTGACACCTCAAAGGATGCCACAGTCAAGAACAGAAGCATATGCTCGCTTCTCAGCTCTTATACCCAACATAGCACTCTCGGCAGGCCACTTAGAAATTTGATACAGCACCAGATTATGAGGAGGCAAGACCTTAAACTGACTGAATTTTCATTTAGATCACTTAACCTGAAGGAAAATCTGAAAATGAAAATTAACCTTAGTTAAAAGAAACTAAAGGAAGTATTTTTCTTGCTAGACAAAAAAAATCAGAAAGAAATGCAAGAGAATATAGTATATATAATTCTTCAGATCAGACATCTTATTTTAACAAGCATGTACTAATAGTATTTTTTCTGAAATCCATTTTGTCTAAAACTGCAACAGTGGGCATTTTTATTATATAGGTCATAGAAAACTCAAAACTCCACATGGATGAAATAGGTAACAGCAGAGAGACTTAAATTTTAAGTAGACAGGAAACATCAATTTATTTTCATTAATGTATATAAAGTGATTTTAATTATAATGTAAAATCAGGAAGTATGCCATTTAAATTTCACAAACACTTTAAACAGCATGATTTAGGTCAGACAGAACACCAGTTCAAATTACTACAACTACAGAAAATTCACCATCTAAAAATTTTTGTGACCTGAACTCAAATTGGTACGTCACACAAAATATTTTTTCTTTTAAATTAAAAACAAATTAGACGTGAAGGTCCATATAGAAGTAGAAGAGTCCAATTTTTACAGAAGCTCAGAGACACAGATTTATTATCGCTACTACTAGACTTCTTGCTTTCGCAAGCATCATCTATAAACCTGTATTTCTTAACTTATTATAATTGCTATCTAATCACCTGGAGTAAAACTTTTTCACTAGTTAAAAAATAATTAGACAATATGAGAAAAGAAATGAAAATACGAATCTTATTTACACTTTAGGGTATTGTTATAAAAATCTCACAATTCTCAAAGATATCATTGAGTTTTGTCTATAATCTATTCCTAAGTATAAGTTATTAACATTTAATATCACATACCAGCTACATAAATACATGCTGATAAGAATTAATAACTCCATGGTATTATAACAACATTCCAGGTGACAGCTGATAGCTACACTTGTGGTGAACACAGCATAATGTTACGGAGTTGTCAAATCACTATGCTGTACACCTGAAACTAATATAACACTGTGTGTCAGCTACACTGCAATTAATAACCCAGATGAAAATAATCGTAAGTCCATAAGAATAGAAAATTAAAATTTTAATAAACCCAGCTGTTAGTCAACCCAACAAGGTTTCTCAATACTAAAACTTTATCTACAATCCTTTAAGAAGTTGCCAAAACTGAAAAGAAGATTCATTAATCATGCTATCCTAAAGCGTTTTTCTCCACTTCTGAGGCAATTATCAAAGAAGGTGTTAGTCTAAACAATTTCATAAGCCACAGCTCAATATAACCTTTAGTGAGTTTTAATAGTTGAAAGAAAAGCTTAACTGTTATCATCTTACATGATCATTTCAATATTTCATCACAGTATTTACAATTGTATAGTGATGGAAAATGCTAGTACATTTAAAGGTCTTGGTTATTCTTTTCCCAAAGGTATTGGTGAAAAACATGTTAAAAGCCTCAAATCCAACCACTAATGCAACTAAGTAATTTCAAAACACATTTTAGCACATTGGCGAGGAAGGACTTAAAGCACAAGTGAGTCAATAATTTCATACCTGTTCTAAGCTGTATTTAATTGACTATCACTTCCTAAGGCTATAATTGTTGATAAGCCAATTTTTACTAAAATATACTTACTAATGCTCTTAAGTAATGCAACATCAACAACAAAGATAATATATATTAGTGAAATTTATTAAATAAATATAGTATTCCACCAAATTTCAAATATATGCTTTTGGTGATAAAAATCTTCTCTTAGGGTGGGGGAAAGAAAAAAGAAGAGTTCATTAACCAAATTAAGTCTATTCCTCCCTATCATCAACAAACAAATATAGAGAAAAGGGGCACCAATTAATGTGCTATGTATTAATTTATATTATTTTAATACAATTCTACCTTCCTTAAAGTAAACTTGACAGTTTTATATAAATTCAAAAATCTACAATATATTTTTGTGTCTTGAATTACTACATACACTTACCTAGATTTTAAAAGTAATTCCAAAATATTATCATGTTCTAAAGTAAATAAAGTCAGACCACAAATTGTCAAGACAGACTACATATACTCCAGGCTGCCACCTTTTTTTTTTTTTTTAAAGGTGAGGGGGAAAAATCGTCAATGCTGACATTAAAAGTACTATCAATTTTTTATTCTGGTGGGCTAATTACTAATCTCTTACTCTTAAAAAAAAGACAGAGGTATATACTTCAGGTTAAACAGTAAAAGTTAACAAAAGTAAAAAAAATAAATTCAATATAGACAACAGCATATGAGAGACGGTAAAAAATTTCTCTACAACCTGGAGAAAAATCAACTTGAGGAAGCCAATCAATGCTTGTTGCAGAACTCAAGGGGGGGCCAAGAGTTGAAGTCACTAAGTACCATATGAAGATGTTGAGAAACAGGGATAAAAATAGTTTAAATGAATGAAAAGTAGTATATAAAACACAGAATTCCAGATCCTCTCCCCATACTTTATGGTCATCCCCACCATAGCAAAGCATTAAAAGTTTACTTTTCAGAGAAGTCAACTTCTGCACACTGTAAAAAGCCTTACTGTAAAAATCAAATAACTTGAAAGGATACTAAACTATGAGACTCCAAAGCAATATTAAAGACATTTTCTCTGAGGAAAATGAGGATCCATAATATTTAAGGGTCTATCAATGGCAAAGACAGCTCATTCATCACC